CCGCGGCTGCGGGGCGCAGCGCCGCGGCCTCTTCGTCTGCCGGCAAAACTTTGCCCGGGCGCGCAACTCCGGGGCTGGGCGCTCTTTGCCTTCAGCCCCAGCTAGCGGTTACGGGCTGTGACGGATGCTAAGGGCTTCGTCTTTCCTGCCGAGTCGGTGATCGAGTGGGTAAGGGTATTTTTAGCGCCCGCCACCCAATCGTGGTCCTATTTTTAGCTCTCGATAGTTCCCACCTAGTAATGAAGGGCAAATAAGCCTTATTTAAGAATGAAACTTAGACACGGTACTGGGGATGCTGCTGTGGCATACAGTGTGTGTCTGTGCGTGCTGGATGCCATTTTTCTGATCGATTTTCTTTGAGTTACAGAAATGTCTCCAGCAGCAAATACTATGGTTGGAGCTTCAAATCAAGCAAATACTAAGTTACAGACATCGCAGGATTCAGGGGAAAAAAAAAAACAAAAAAACAAAAACAAACCCCAAGACAGTCATTTCATTTTCTTTGTTCACCTCCTACTTGCTGTCTAGGTCTTTGGGGAATGGGAAACATCTGACAGAAAACAGATTTAGGCACATTCTTAAAAAAATAAATGTCTAATTTTGACAGGATAGATTGTGTGATTGTCTATTGGGTAAATCCCTCTTAGTTCACGGATTATTGGTCAGACAGGCAGGAACTTCTTCAGATTCATTCTGCTTTATCATGTCAGACCAGCTGCCGCACACATGTACCAAACCTGTGCACTCAAAACCCCATGCATGTTTCATTGAAGAAAAAAAAAAATGGAGCATGTGAAGAGAGCTGCATTGTTAATGAAAGCAGAATTCCACTCTGTGATGACTGAAATGCTGCTTTTATTTTTTTCACAGCTGGCTGTCAGGTTCTTTATTGTAAGTCCTCTAAGTTCATTAGCTAGTGGTTTAAAATTCATCTGAGGGGGAACTTGAGCCCAGGCTGTGCTATAAGCTAGTCTAATAAAGGTAGCTAATACTGGGCTCCAGCAAACAGTGGCATGCTTAACTTTCTAAGGTTAAGTCAGGTAGTTCAAATGGATTGTACATTTCAGTTTTATTCAGCCATAGTGGAATGCCAACACACAGGATCAAAATGAAGAGTAACAGATTTGGGTTTTTTTCTCCCTGCGGTTGCCACTGATGTAAATTCTAAAAGCTATATTCTCTTCTTGCTTTCATTGACAGAAATTTCATTCACTGGAGCTGGCAGGGTTGCACACTACAATACTATATATTTGAGAGGAGAATCTGACTCAGAAGTCCAACTCAGCGCTTGACTACCCTTGTTCCCTGGGAGATTTTCAGGTGGCGGAAGAAAGGGTTGAGATAGGCATATTACTGGGGTTACTCCAGGGGGAAGGGTGATATTCTCCTCCCCCTTCATTACTAACTATATACTTCAGCACTTCTGTGGGGAGTTTGCAATACAGACGTGTCTGGTGATAAGTCTGAAATAAACATGGTGCCTGTTTTCTGGAAACATAACTGAATCGTTGGGCGGTATGCATGCACATACTCTGCTGTAGACCTCACGTAATCCCTCTTGAATCCCAACACGTGCTCACTTGCTCGCTCTTACTATGTTTCTTGTTCTTGCCTTTTCTGTCATAGTGGCTGTTAACTGTTGCCAGTTTGCTGCAGTTCTTATCTCCTACAGCTAGGAGAACAGAGCATTCTTCTGAGCATAAATTATTTTGGACTGGAACATGAATTAAATACTGTTTTACCCTCTGAAATTAAGGATTACTTAAAACAAGTAGATACTTGGTACAAGATGGGAAATAGTTTATAGTCTGTTTTAGGAAAAAAATAGAGTAACAATAACCTTTTAAAGTTTTAAAGTCTTTTTTTTTTCTTCAAAGTAAAGATTTTCTTAGTACGTGGATAAAAAGAAACTTTGGAAAGAACATAATAAGCTTCAAAAAGGTGTGCAAAGTGTTTTTGACTAATCCTGCAAAAACCTATGCCTGGGCATAACTTTACTTATGTGAACACCACTATTAAGCTTGGCATTGAACTAAGAAGGGGTTACTCAGGCGAGTAAACTTATGACGAGGCATAAGTAATATTAGGCCAGAAAACTCTGGCCTAATATTTGTGAGTATGAAGAAGAAAGTTTCCTAAGTCTTGTTTACGCCAATTCAGATTATTCAGGAAGAGATTACATTGAAAACAATCTGATTTATATGTACAATTAATTTGTAACTTGCTAATTATAAAGACAGTTACAACTTTTTACAGAGCTGTAATAAGAAAGAAACTTCTGGTTTTACAAGAACCTATATTAATAAGTCCTTTGCTGGCACATTTATTGAGGAAAAAGGACACAGGATGAAAATTCCACTGGAAAAAGGTCAGGGAGGAACAGAAGATACCTCCTGAAGAAAATGTATCTCACTGAAGACTTTCTTCCTCCTTTGCAAGAAAGGACTAACAGAAATAAGGAGTATTTAACACTTTGCTAAAAAGGTGGATTTGGTGGGGGAATACATCTTGCGTCTCTGCCCCACTCTCTATTAAATAAATACTTTTGGAAGATAACTACAAATTGAACCTGTGGACTTACGATTAAAAAAGTGCATTGGGGAATTGTAGGAAGGCCTAGAAAAACCTTCTCAACGAGTGGTGTAACCTTCTTGACAGTCAGAAGGTTAGTAAAAGACACTGATGAAAGCAGAGGAGTCAGTATCTCAAAGAAGTTTGTCACAGCAAGTGAGGAGTGTCTGATACTACAGACTCCTTCATAGTCACAAGCATGGCTTCAGTAGATGCTCTTCTAGACACAGAAGCTGATGATGCAACTGGTAGGATCCTCTTTTATTTGATGTATTTGACTTGTAATAAGTTTCATAGTTCTGGTCTGTTTGGGTTTTTTTATGGTGGCTTTGTAATCTAACGGGTGCTTAACACCAATTCAGTCCCGATGGGAACAGCTGCAGTTTAATGCTGGCCTACGCAAAGACTGAATTTGGTTTATGAAGTCTGTGATCTTTTAACTTTGAAACAAAGTTCAAGGGAAACATTCAAGGCATAAGGATTTTAGTGCCCATAACTTGATAGTATGTTCATGCTGCTTGAACTTTAAACTGATGTTCTTTCTTTAATAATTAATTTTAAAAAGAACGAAATAACTCATTTTAAACAAGTTTGGTGTAAATAATCCTAGTGTGTCTCATTTTCCATTTCTAATATTCACAGATCAGAAGTAAGGTCATTCAACAAAAGTTCCGCTCTGGAAAGATGAAATAACTAGCCTTAGGGAAGGTGGATTAAAGAAATCTGAGCAACCTGATCTAGTTGAAGATGTCCCTGCCCATGGCAGGGGAGTTGGACTAGATGACCTTTAGAGGTCCCTTCCAACCCAAACTGTTCTATGATTCTATAAATACTAGTACTTTTTGCAACAAGTGGCGTTTTACTTGAAACTATCAACATTGGATTAGAGCATCTCAGAAAACTGAAGAGATCATTTAGTGATTTATGTAATGTTACACACAAATTCAGTGATTGCTAGTATCCTTATGCCTTTGTTACCCACACCAAGAAAAACAATGCATCAAGAACAAGGTGAGGGAGCAGCTATGGAGATTAATTTACTGCTTGTTAAGTTAAAATGTCAGTTATCATGCACCTACCATTTTGGTGACAGGGGGATTTGGGTACTCAATGATTGCAGGACTGGACCATTCTTAAGGTCAGTGAAGAAAGCTCTCTTGAGTGTTACTATCCCTCCTGCTCTTCTTTCTCTTCCTTTTGAAACTGTTCTCTCGGCCCAGTGGGTTGCTTTTTCCTGGGCGCTTTATGTGGTGAGGTCCAAAGGTGCCCTGACTACCCCTCCAACAGACTCCTGGGTTGGAAGGGAGCCTCCAGCAGGCAAGAAGAGGGCCCCAGCAGTCTCGCCCTCACTCTTCTGTGCCTGTCCTGCCTGCTAACACCTGACACGAGTTGGGATAACACAGGGACTGGTGCCAAGCCGGTAACTAGCACCTACCGTATCAGGGAAGAAAGTTGCATTCACCCCCTTCTCACCAATCTCTGTTCTGTGCTAGATGCATTTGGGTTTTTGTACTTTTTCCCAGTTTCCCGTGTTCTTGGCCCAATTGTTTCGTTGCTAAAAACTCATTTTTGTTACTAGTGAAGAAGGCAGAGAGGAAGTCTGACATTGCTGAGGCGCCAGGGCCCTAGAGCAGCAAGATACAGCTGACTTCACTAGGACTGCACACATGCTTAAACTTATGTGTTAACTACTTTTCTGAATGAGATGGCAATGAAAATGGGAAAAAACAATGTTCGTATGCTAGATCTGCCTCAGCTGCATTAGGTCCAAACAGTTCTGTAAAGACAGCTCTGTGAGTGCTCAAAAGAATAATGAATTCGAGAGTAATCCTTGACCAAAATCTGTAAGATCAGTGAAGTCACTTATGGAAGAACTAAGGAATGCAGCTACTTATGATTATTTTTTTTCAATCCAATACTTGTTAAATAGTACAGCCATTGCAGAATTGGAGGATGGGATCTATCAGTAAGAATCTTATTTTGGAGGCTTTTCAAATTGACCCTGGATTTTGGTTTGAGCGGTGTAAGAATCTAGTTGAAGAGTGTTACTCTCTTAGTGCATTTTCTAGAATACAAATTTTACATATAAGAACGGAACTATCTTTTGATAATCAGATTGAAGATCTCATCAGCTTTTTCAGCATATGATTGTTCTTGATGATGTTTTGTTTTTTAGTTTTAAAATGATAATGTTAAATGCTCTATTAAAGATTGTTTTATCTAATAAGTGAACCCCCTGTTGTGAATTCAGACTAATGGAATCATTGTTTTTGTCACAGGTGATCCTTGGACTTCTTTTTGTGCCCCGAGAGGAAATGGGTAGCCCGACAAAGATTTGACTCAAGGGAGATAACTGGTAGAAGATCAAGGTGTAGCGCAAATTCAGGGTTCTGATGAAAACTGAGATGTTGATGGCAATGAACATTATTTCAGACATGAATAACTTCCAGTATTAAAAATGGTAAGCCGTCTGGGAGAAGGGAAAATGTCTAGTGGAGATGCTGAACTTTGCCAATTGTTGAACAGAACTGAGTATAAAAAATACAGTTTAAATAAAGCTATTCCTCAGACTGGTTTTGATTGAATAATTTACTGAATCAAAGGTTTACTTCAGAAACCTGTTTAAATGGCACTGTGCTGTCAATGGCCGAAGGTAGAGATGAGTATGTCACATAATTAATACTCTATTCTTACTAATATGTCTGTAAAACTCAGCTATTTATTCTTTCTGCAAGATTCTGCATTCTGAAGTTTTTAGAGGCACTGCTTTTTCTAGTTTGCTGCTGCCAGCAGACAATGGTACTGATAGGCTATTGCTCTCTCTCTTAGGTTATTTTTTGGAGGAGTTCTCCCTTTTCCTATTAAGATTTATTTCATCTTAATCTTTTTGTTAGCAACTTCTGATCTGCTTCTACTCTTAGCCCTTTTCTATCTCTTTTTATACTAGCCACTTTCTTATCTTCTTATAACATAGATACTTTGTGTCTTTCTAGTATAAGACATCAGCAGCAAGTCTAGTTTAGCGACAGAAAATGCTACCAACAGTCATCCAATGCTGATATGACAACGTCCATTCTGTTTCTACAATGAGGCTTGCTTTCCTAGGGCAATAAAAATGTTGCATGTCAATTCAGTGCTGTGCATCACAGTTTAATTTTGCAACCTCAGTAAGAACCTTGTCACCCTTGCTGTTGGCAATTTTTCTTCTACTCACATCCATGACCTGCCTCAAATTCCACATTTTCCACTCCTGAGAAACAATTACCAACCTCTGTTTCAGGAGGACAAGCGTTACTATGAATTCTTCAGGATAACAGAACACAATTTGTTGATGTTTTAGTGTTTGCTTATTTAATGAACAAATAAACATGTATTTAAAGTGTAGTTAAATAATGCTTGGGACTATAATACAAATGCTGCTACTAAAGAAGTGTTCTTTCAAAATCCTGGAGTCAAAGATGGGCAGTATTACAGTTCAGTGGGATAATCCAGGTTCCTACCTTACGTGACAAAATAAAGGTCTGATTATCTTCTTTGTTTTGAGGATGGATAAAATATGCAAAAAAACCCCTTACCAATACCCTTAAATTCAGATGATAAGCAGGCTGCAAACTTTTTAATCTTTTCTTTTTCAAGTAGAGCAGAAATGAGGGTATAATCAGTAAATCTGTTTATATCTTTTAAATAGTGACTTCTGTAGTTTCTAAATACTTTTGTGGTAATAAACAACCAGTAAGTGTACAAAGTTTTGTGTCCTATAGTTCTTTTTTTTTTTAATGAAGCTTGTTATCTGTAAAGAGAAGGCAAACTTATACTCCTTCCTTGAAGAAACACCTTGCACCAGAACTAAGACATTTTTCAGCTCATTCTTTCCATTTTATAAATGATCTAATATAGTACCAGGTCGTATCATTAACTATTCTTCAAAAAGCATATCTATTACCTTATTGATGATCATAAAAATGCAGCTTTTGATTATCTCAGAGTCCTATACTTGAGTTAGGGACCTGAATTAGGTTGTTGGGGTTTGGGGCAGGGGGGAGGCTGGGGTTTTTTTGATCATGGGGGACTCCTCATCTTTTCCGTTGCTACGGTTCTAAAAAGGCCTTCAACGCTTCACTCGGACTCTCTAACCGCCCCTAACTCCTAAGGTCCCCTGCTCTCCAAAAGAGCAAATAGAAGCAGCTGATTTCAAATCCCACTGTGTGTGACCAAGCACTGGAATTCTCTATTCAAATACATACTAAGCAGCTGGAAAGGTTTACGGGTGGTTTCAGGTTAATTAAATTTTATTTTTCTCTCCACACCTTTAAACGGATTATTTGGCTACATTTGTTGTATAAGTTGGGCAGGATATGTAATTTTTCCATTTAGGCCTACAGAAACCCCATTCTACATGATGTGTACATGTGATTCTATGTGTGATGCTGAAATACAAGGTCTATTTGTATCATATCACATTGACTTTGCTTTTGGGGTGCAGATGCAGGGTTGGCAAAACTAACTGGCCTTCAGGGAGAGGTTACCAAGCAGAAGTATTCTGCCCTTGTGCTGACAAAGGTCAGCTCCTCCCTTGGTGCTTGGTGTCGTGTGAGGTCAGTCAGCAGCATTGCTTTTGTTAGTAGGTCATTTCAGCTGAACCTGAGTATTAGCCTAGTGTGGTTATAGTGCAACACTCAGTACTACGTTATTTAGCCAGACAAGATGGCCAAAGTGATGAATGGGCATGAGTACAGGAATCAGCCTTGAAAACTGGTATCCAGTCACACCTGAGAGAAGTTTCAGCAGGTACCTATCTTTGTGTGTGTTTTGGGGAAGAATCGTCAATGTTCTTTCCCCCCTGGGTAGTAGCTATGGATTTCATTTGATGTTCCTGTTTTCCAGACTGAGTGATGAGCAGTTTTCCACTCCATAGTCTTACTTGATTTTTAAGGACGCATTCCACTCCCTGTCCATGTTGGGGAGAAAAGAAGTGATTTCATTTTCAGAGGTGAAAGAATATTCTTAGCCCAATACAGTTAGGGTATGGACTTCTCTGTGTTAGAGATATTGAAAGAAAGGTGCCTCTTTATGTGAATTCTCCTCATTAACAGCCACTATTTGCCCCTCCAGTCAAACATCACAAAGTCGCTCGTAAAATGAAGCATTGCAATGCCTTTTTATCCTCCTTCAGTGCTCTTTGGATTTTTTTTTTTTTCTTCCTTAAGTAACAGCATGCATAGACTTATTTTGAGACTGGATATTGTTGAAAATATGGGACTTTCATATCATGAAGAATTGAAGTTTGCATAAATGCAAATGAATCAGTTACTTCAGTTGCATTTTTATTTCATTTTGGATGAAGAATTAATGGCCTGTAAATAAATAAAAAAAAAACCCTGTTTTTATTAACAGTTTATGTGTATTTTGCGTTGATATGTTCTGTCTTAATTATAGTAATTATTTACATTAAAGGTATGTCTCCAGATTATCTCTGGCTGTGTAATTCTGGGGTCTACCTTCTGTAATTTGAGTATTGTAATGTAATGCCTGCACCTAACATGCAGGTTCACATAATTGCAACTTACTTTACAAAACCTAGGTTCTTCCCCACATTTCCATTATGCCATATTACATCCCCCAACCTTCCCTGAATCTGTGTTACTGAATTAGTTCTCGCTTAGAACAAAGGATTGAAAGGGACCTTCTCGATCAAGTCCCATTTCCAGGTGTAATAGGTGTTCGTACAAATCCTTTCAGAATCACCCTTCACCCCCAGTTACAGCTTTTTCTCCTTATTCCAACTCAAGAAGGGTATTCTCACTGCCTAAATGTATTTTCTGTCAGTTTGTATGCTTTTGCTATTGTACTGATGTTACTTAACATTACTTAACATCTCTGTATTCTTGTAATGAGTGAGAATAAAAACATCATCTCTTGGCTGTCATTGTGCTGGTCAAAAAAAGGCAGAAATTAAATTCTGTTAGTCTATTTACAAAATAATCTTTCCCCTTCTGCAAGACCACTACCCCCAGGAGTATGCCTCATCTCTGGAAATACCTTCCCTAAAAGCGAGATCCTAGTTTTACTGAAATCAATAGTAAACCTCTTACCAAAGTGAGTGCCTGTCTTCTTTCACTTTTTTGGCTGTAATGCTTGCCCATGAGTAAGAAGGCTGCTATGCTGCTAACAATCTTAAACCCAAAGTGCGGTAAGCAGAGAAGTCTTTACCATAACTTTGGGGTCAGAACAGGATTTTTGTTGGATCACTGATATCCTTGCGATAAAGCTGTTACAGATCAGGGTCATAAGTGTCTGATCTATATATCCTGAGGTGGGTACATCATGGGAAGCCACTTACAATTTCACGTATAGTAGGTATGCGAACTATTAAGTCTGAGAATTGATGCTTCAAGAACACCCCTGGGAGTAAAGAAAACACAAGAGACCCTCTACTACTGCAATGCTGTCCTTTCTAGGGTTTTGGGTATGTGGGGGGTTTTTTGTTTAACAAACGGATATTATGTTACATAGGTCAAGGACAGTTTGCTTGTACTAGACTTGTCTGGTCAGATCACGTCAGTTTATCTTTGGTATTATCTTTGTCCTCTTCTGCTTTCTAGAAACTCGTAGTTCTTTAATATGTTCATTAAGCAGAATAAATTTCAGAATTGGGGTTTTGCTGCTATAGCCTCATTGTATGGATTATCTGGTGGTTCTGTTGCCAAATACGACATCATCATATATATGTATGATGTTCCTTCGGAAATTTCTCTTACCAATCTGCCTCTCTCTAACCACTATCTTTTCAGCTCTCCTCTTGATTTTTTTTTCTTGTCTAAGGAACTGTACTGTTGAGAATCTCTGCAGGGCCTCATAAACCCATCTTATTCTCCCTTCCTGATGATGTAACACATTTCAACACCTGTTGCTAAGCATTTTCTTAGTATTGGCTGTGTCTTGTTTTAGGAATATACAGAAACACGTTTATATCAAAGCATATGTAAATCCTACTGGTTTTTACCATGTTGCAGAAGGTACTTGTACCAAAGGTTGTTCCATTTTGTCGTATACCTTGCTTTTATGAATTTACAGATGTAGATGCACCTAGAAACATCTCCTCTAATTATTTGGGTATTTTTGCAGAAAGTACCTTTTCATTTTCTTTTTTTTTGTTTTCCCCTAATGCAGCATCCACTGGCACATCGTAACTCATATTTTTGTATATTGCTTGTGAATATACACACTTTCTCTAGAAAGGAGGATCTCATATGTAGGAGAACAATATTCAGTATGTCTGACAGGAAGGAAGGACAGTAATGTTTCCTTATCTTTCCTCCACCTAGACACAGGTGGTGGGTTTAGTTCATGGTATAAATTAGAACAGCATCAATGTTTCTGTAATTCATGCTTATTGCAACAGCTCCCACAGGGATTTTTGTATCAATGAGTGTCACGTAAACATAGCTTTCACTGGCCAAGCTCATTCTAACTATTCTGCATGTAAGCGTCCAGGACTACAGAGTCAACAGTAATCCCCATCAGGCTGGGTAAAACAGCTTTGCATCTCCTCTGTGTACTGCTAAGTATGGAG